AAGACCCTGATGCTGGGAAAGATTGAAGGTCAAAGAAGACGGGGACGGCAAAGGATGAGATGGTTGGACAGTGTCATCGACGCAACGAACATGAAATTGAGCCAACTTCAGAGGACAGCGGAAGACAGGAGGGCCTGGCGGGATCTGGTCCATGGGGTCGCGAAGAGTCGGACTCGACTGTGCGACTGAACAAAAGCTCATAATTACAGTGTTCCGTCTAAGCTGAGTTAGTGTGAGCTCGCACAGTTTTTTAACCTCACACATTTTTGTCTTAGCTCAGGAAGGATGGTTCAAGAGCAAACTGATGCAGTAGCCAAATCGCTCGCTCACAACTTTAATGCCAGTAGGAAGTACTTCTTCACCCAAAGAGTGATTAACACTTGGAATTCACTGCCACAGGAAGTGGTGGTGGCTACAAGCATGGACGGCTTCAAAAGGGAATTAGATAAGCATATGGAGCAGAGGTCCATCAGTGGCTATTAGCCACAAGGTATAGATAGGGACTCTGGGGCAAGTGATGCTCTGTCATCTTGGTGTCCCACTTCCCCATTCCTGGGCTGGGGCCAGCCCCCCCCCCTCGGTCTCCAGTTCAGCTCCAGACTGTTTCCTGCCTCCTCCGATAAGATCCTCTCTCTGCACAGGGACCAGACTGGCTGGAGCTCCCCAAAGGTCACTGGCTGGCCAGGCCCCAGCCGAGCAGAGAATGCCACAAGTCAACGGGCACTGCCCTGGCATTTGCTGACCCCGAATTGGCAAACTGTGCCAGATCTTTGCGGCGGCGGGGGGGGGGGGGGGGGGCGCACTTGGCACAGATTCCCCCCCCCAAGTGGCCTTGTACATTGACCCCTGGGGGGCCCTGATTCCCCTGCTAGGCCTGATCCGGGAGGGGGGGTACGGCTGGGTACCCGGGCACCCCGTGGCACCTCGTGCCCCGAGCGTTAGAGCTTCTTGTTTGAAGGGGATGGAGGGAGTGGAGCTGGCGCCAGCCGAAGCCGGCTTATCTTTCTGGGAAGTCGGAGTAGGAAGTGCAAATGACGGTGGGCTTTGGGCCATCAAAGGGGCCTCTCTCTGTTTTTAAAGGGACAGCCCTCCTGGCTCCAGGGCGATTGGCATCTCCCCCCCCCCTTCCCTCCCTGGCAGACTTCCTACGCTTTAAACAAAATGGAAAACCAACCAGCAGATCCGCCCACTTGCATTCCCCGGCCTGGGGCAGCGTCCGAGGAATGTATCTTGTTGGATTTCTGCCTGTTGAACACCCAGGAATTCTACCTAGGCAGATGGGTAAGCCGCATTAGTCTGTCTGAAGCAGCGGAAAAGAGGAAGAGGAAGAAGAAGAGGAGGAGGAGGAGGAGATTGAATTTACACCCTGCCCTTCACTTGGGTTCTCAGAGCGGCTCACAACCTTCTTTCCCCTCCCCTCCCCACAACCGACACCCTGTGAGGGAGGCGGGGCTCAGAGAGCTCTTTCCAGAACTGTCCTCGACAGAACAGCTCTGAGAGAACTATGGCTTGCCCAAGGTCATCCAGCAGCTGCAAGTGGAGACGTGGGGAATCAAACCCGGTTCTCCCAGATTGGAGTCCGCGCACTTAACCACGACACCAAACTGGCTCTGTGGCAGGGGAGGAGCTTTTGTGAGACAAGTGAGCCGTGACTCACCAAAGCTCCCGCCCCGCCACACGTTTGGTTAGTCTTTAAGGTGCTACTGGACTCCTGCTCTTCTCTACTATCCCGGTAGCGTTGCCCCTGTTTGCTTATTGGGGGAATGAAGGTTGCTGGCACGCTTCCCAGGTACTCAGGAGGACAGAGGGGCCACAATGAAGGCCTCAGCATGGCCTCTAAGACCTCATCCTCTGAGCGGTCAGCAGTCAATTCATTTTATTAACTTCATTTATAGCCCGCCTTTCTACCCAATGGGGCACCCAAAACAGAACAGGGATTCGAAGCTGGGTCCCCCACATCTGAGTCCAGCACTCTGACTACAACACCACATAATCCCGAAACCCAGGGGTCATTTCGTAGAAAAAGAGCTAGGGAAACTCATTAGCATACCTCATTAGCATATGCCACACCCCCTGACATCACCGGAAGTGTGTCATAAGGCCACACCGCCTGACATCACTGGAAGTGTGTCATAAGGCCACACACCCCGCCCCCAACGGTCCCGGCCGCCACCGCGGGCCTTGCAGCTCCACTGGGCTTCGTCATGTGCCCCACCCCACCCGTACCTCACCCGGGGGAACTGCGATCCCCCACGTTCCCCCCCGAAATGACCTCTGCTGAAACCCCATGCCGTTAGAGGACGGCAGGCACGCTGCTAGAAGATCCATCAGTTAAATCACGATAGGCTCCCGAGAGAGCCCAGAGTGCCTGCTTGCAAAGGAGGCTGCCTGCTGCATCTCTGTTTGACCGTTCTGGGCTTGCAGTTTGGTGTAGTCATGGTTAAGTGCGCGGACTCTAATCTGGGAGAACCGGGTTTGATTCCCCACTCCTCCACTCACAGCTGCTGGAGGACCTTGGGCAAGCCATAGTTCTGTCAGAGCTGTTCTTGAAAAGAGCAGTTTCTGTCAGAGCTCTCTCAGCCCCACCTACCTCACAGGGTGTCTGTCAGGTGGGTAGATTTGTGGGTCTGAAGGGATAGAACAAAGTTTGAGTCCAGTGGCACCTTTAAGACAAACAAAGTTTAATTCTGGGTATAGACTTTCATGTGACTGAGTGGAACCTCGATGTTCAGAGGCACTAATCTTTTGAATCCCAGAGCCAGGAGGCAACATCAAGGGAAGGCCTTGGCCTCTATGCCCTGTCGTTGGTTTGTCCAGAGGAACTGGTTGGCCACTGTGTGAGACAGGATGGTGGACCAGATGGACGCTCAGTGGTCCGGTCCAGCATGGCTCTTCTGTTGTCCTTACCAGGGGAAGGCCTCTGCCTCTCTGCCCTGTCGTTGGCCCTCCAGAGGAACTGGCTGGCTGCTGGGTGAGACATAGGCTTGCCAAGTCCCCCCAGGGGGCGGGGAAAACCCCACCCCAGAGGCCCGTTCTCCGCCGGCAGCAGATCGGGCCCCGGGGGGAGCCCCACCCCGACATACGCGTAACCCGGAAGTGACGCAACCACGCCGGGCACGCTGAGGGCGGGGCCACGGTCATCCGAGGGAAAACTCTATGGTTTCCCCTCGGATGGTCGTGGCCCCG